AGGAGGAAGGAGAGGAGAGGAGAGGAGGAGGAACGCGGGGCGCCGTCTCTTCAAAACGAGGACCCAACACCACAGGATGGTTGGGAAAAACAGAAACAAACTGGAAACAATATCGAAACCTAAATCAACTTGGCGAAAAACCCAACCGTGTGCAGTTGCGAATACCGGAATTGTGAGTACCGTCTCAAATGGAACTCCTTATGGGGCAAAGCCCGCATGGGGTCTGTGCCGCTGGGTTCTTCGGTGGAGCTCCCTGTGGAGCCACGAAGCGTGTGAGGGGTGTGCCGAAACGGAGGGCCGGCCACATGCTGGCGGCGCCACTGGGGCCTTCGGTGGAGCTCCCTATGGGGCCGCGAAACGTGTCAGGGGTGTGCCGAAACGGGGTGACGCCCACATGCGGGCGGCGCCACTGGGGCCTTCGGTGGAGCTCCTTGTAGGGTTACGAATCGTGTGAGGGGTGTGCCGAAACGGGGGAACGGGGGTGTCGCCCACATGCGGGTTGCGCCACTGGGGCCTTAGGTGGAGCTCCCCATGGGGACACGAAACGTGTGAGGGGTGTGCCAAAACGTGGTGTCGCCCACATGCGGGCGGCGCCACTGGGGCTTTAGGTAGCTCCCTATGGGGCCGCGAAACGTGTGAGGGGTGTGCCGAAACATGAGTGTCGCCCAAATGCGGACGGCGCCACTGCGGCTTTAGGTGCTCCCGATGGGGCCATGACGCGTGTGCCGAAACGGGGGTGTCGCCCACATGCGGCCGGCGCCGCTGATTCCTCGGTGGAGCTCCGTATGGGACCGCGAAACGTGTGAGGGGCGTGCCGAAACGGGGGTGTTGCCCACATGCGGGCGGCGCCACCGGGGCCTTCGGTGGAGCTACCTGTGGGGCCACGAAACGTGTGAGGGGTGTGCCGAAACGTGGTGTCGCCCACATGTGGGCGGCGCCACTGGAGCCCTCGGTGGAGCCTTCGGTGGAGCTCCCTATGGGGTACGAAACTTGTGAGGGATGTGCCGAAACCGAGGCGTCGCCCACATGCGGGCGGCGCCACTGGGGTCTTCGGTGGAGCTTCCTATGGGGCCACGAAACGTGTGAGGGGTGTGTCGAAAAGGGGTGTCTCCCACTTGCGAACGGCGCCACTGGGGCCTGGAGCTATGGGGCGACGAAGCGTGTGAGGGGTGTGCCGAGGGTGGCGACGATGATGGCGACGATGATGAGGACGATGATGATGTTGGTGATGAGGATGCCGATCACGATGACCATGATGATGATGCTGATGATGCTGATGATGCTGATGACGATGAAGACGATGAAGACGATGAAGACGATGATGATGATGATGCTGATTATGATGATGCTGCTGATGATGATCATGATGATGATGATGATGGTGATGATGGTGATGGTGATGATGATGATGATGGTGATGATGATGATGATGATGATGATGATGATGATGAAATGATGATGATGAAATTATGATGATGACGATGACGATGACGATGACGATGACGATGACGATGATGATGATGTTGATGATGATGATGATGATGATGATGATGATGATGATGATGATGATGATGATGATGATAATGCTGATGATGATGCTGATGATGCTGATGATGATGATGGGAGGTTGGAGGAGGGAGTGGGGGCAGGAAGGAGGAAGACGAGGAGGCGCGGGGCGCTCTTTCTCTTCAAAACGACGACCCATCACCGCAGGATGGTTGAGAAAGAATACCACATGACAAAACGGCAAGGGCGATGCGTGCTTGAGAAATGTAGAAGCCACTGATAGCGGCCAGAGCAATTGTTCCGCAAGCAGGGAAAAGGGGGGCGTAGAACGAGGCTCGCACCGAGAATACGAATAATAACACTGCGCAAAAGATCACGTGCGACGAACACGGGCCACGGTTAACGCGCGGGTGAAGCGGCGAGCACGGGCAGCAAGTAACGAAAAGCGCTGGCGCGACGTAGGCTTGCAATGCAAACCTGCGTGCGGTCCAACGTATTTTTACGAATTCTGGCGCCCCAGAAATGGCCGATCGATTTCCGGGACAGCAATCGACCGCCCAATGGGCTTTCAAAAAGGCCCAACGACGGCCCGACAAGGGCCCCAAAACATTCCATGACGCCTCCCAAGCGGCCCCCCCCGAGGATACCAAACAACGGTTTCAACATGACCCCAAATCCTCCAGGGTTGCTCTAAAGCGCCCCAAGAGGGCCTCGGCGCGGCCCAGGGAAACCCTGGGCACGGCCCCCGCAGGCGCTAGAGGGGGGCGAGATCGCCCAAATACGGCTTAAGAAATACCGAAGAAGCTCCGAAGGGGGCCCCGACAGCCCTGCAGGTGCTCCCTGGGAGGGCGCCCCCAAGCGGCCGCTCCACCGCGTTGGCGGGGTCGCGCGGCAGCGCGACTGAATGTGGCCCGGTTGCTCCACGAGGAAGGCCGCGCGCGCGCGTGGCGCAGAGTCAGACGCGCGTTCCCACGCAGGCCCGCGCGCGCCCCAAGCGCACGGCAGCGCCCGCCGGCTCGCGCCGCGGGCTCGGAAAAGGGAGGGCGGGAGAGAGAGGGGGGGCGGGAAATATGCAGAAGGCAATTGCACATTATGGCAAAGGACGGGGTGGCGGGGGCAAGCGGGCGGGGAGAAGGAGAAGGAAAAGGGGGGAAAGGGGAGGAAGGGGGGGGGGCGATGCAGATGGGAGCGGAATGGAAGGCGCGAGGGGGGCCGACGGAAAGGACGAGGGCGGGGGGCAACAGGAGAAGGAATGACAAGTGGCACGCGTGCCGTGGCTCCTGTACAGGAATGAACGGGGAGGAGGCGGAGGGGGCGCGCTGGCTGGTGGATGGGGCCATGGAAGGGGCTCTTGGGGTAAGGGGCAGTGCCGCGCGGAAATGAAGGGGTCGGGGCGGAGTTGCCGTGTTGGCTGGCGGGTGGGGCGATGCAGAAGGGTCGCTCGGGATGGGGGTGGCGGTGCCGTGCCGAAATAAAAAAGGACCAGGGCGGAGGGGCGCGCTGTCTGGTGGGTGGGGGGGGCGCGGAAGGGGCGCGGGCGGAAGGGGCGCGCTGGCTGGTGGGTGGGAGGACGCGGAATGCCTATAGTAAGGGGGGCGGGGCCGCGCCGAAGTAAAGGGGTCGGGGCGGAGGGGGCGCTCTGGCTGGCGGGTGGGGGGATGCAGAGGGGGCGCGCGGGATGGGAGGGAGGGCGGTGCCGTGCCAAAGTACAAGGATCGGGGCGGAGGGGGCGCGCTGGCTGGCGGGCGGGGCGAGGCAGGGGTGGCGCGCGGGGCGGGGCGCCGTGCCGAAATTAGAAAAGAAGTCGGGGCGGACGGGGCGCGCTGGCTGGTGGGTGGGGCGATGCTGAGGGGGTGCGCGGGAGGGGGGGGGGGGCGGTGCCGCGCGGACATGACAATGTCGGGGCGGAGGGGGCAGTGCCTCGTCGAAATAAAAGGGTCGGGGCGGAGGGGGCGCGCCGGCTGGCGGAGGGGGGGCGCGCAGGGGGCGCGAGCTGGAGGGGGCGCGCTGGCTGGTAGGTGGGAGGATGCCGAGTGCCTAAAATAAGGGGGCGCGCGCTGGCTGGCGGGTGGGGGGGCACGGATGGGGGGAGCAGAGCCGCGCCGAAATAAAGAGGTCGGGGCTGAGAGGGCGCTCTGGCTGGTGGGAGGGAGATGCGGCGGGGGCGCGTTGGATGGGAAGGGGGCGGTGCCGGCGGTGGAGCCGGCGCTCGGGATGGGGGAGGCGGTGCCGTGCCGAAATTCAAGGGGCCAGGACAGAGGGGGCGCGCTGTCTGACGGGCGTGGCGACGCAGAGGGGGTGTTCGGGATGGGGGGGGGGCGCCGTGCAGATGTGGGGGGGCGCAGATGTGGGGGGGCGCCGTGCAGATGTGGGGGGGGGACGCAGGGGGGACGCAGACGGGGTGTTCGGGACGAGGGGGCGCGCTGGCTGGTGGGTGGGTTGATGCGGAGGGGGCGTGCGAGATGGGGGGGGGGGCGTGCCGAAATAACAAGGCCGGGGCGGATGGAGCGCGCTGGCTGGCGATCGGGGTGATGCGGAGATCGGGCGCGGGATGGGGGTGGTGGTGACGTGTCGGAATAAAATGGTCGGAGCTCTAGACACCCTGTGCAAGAGAATAATGAAACGAATCTCTCTCAGGCCTGGCGGGCCTGGGCCCCAAGTTTTCCCCCGCAGCGGCGGGCGCCCCCCCCCTGCGCGCCCTGGCCCCCGGGGACCCGACCCACGACCAGAGCCGCGCTTACGCCCAGGCGCTGCGGGGGGCGAGGAGGCGCAGGAGGACGAAGAGGAGGGAATGGGGGCATGGGGGGGACAGGAAGGGAGGAGGGGTACGAGGAGGAGGGAGGGAACGACTGGCAGGGGGGAGGAACGCACAAGCAACGACGGGGGGCACTGTACATGTCCTCCGTCGCTGCAAGAATGCGACGCAGGCATAGAGGTGACGGGTTGGAGACCACAAGAGCCCTGATCATTTGGAGGTCGCAAGAGTCTGTCGCCAGGCGCGGCCGGACTGTCCCGACAAAATGCACGGTGGGACTGTTGCAAAAAGCGTCTCGACAAAGTGCCCGGTGGGAGTGTCGCAGAGGCACCATGCCTGTCAAATCACAATGCATCCGAAGCCCAAGGAGAATTTCGTCGGGACACTCTGTCCCGGAAAATTGAAAATTTTGTCGCGGCGATTGTTTTTTGTCGGGCCGTTTTGTTTTTTTTTTGCGGGCCAACTGTTTTTCGTCGCCGAGATTTTGTCGGACTGATTTCCGGTTTTGTCCGCGACGCTCTCTCGATTTTGTGCCCGGGCCCCGGCGGGCGCCGTCGGCGGTGGTAGACGTCCGCATGCTTCCTGAACAAAACTGTCTTTTGCATGGTATGCTCCTCATGCAAGAGACAGTCTTGTTCAGGAAGCATGCGGACGTCCTGCAGCGACGATGCAAACTCTGGAGGGCTCTCCAGTCCCTCGGGAGCAACAAGGGTGCTCCAATCCCCGTGGGGGGGAATACCTGGTGCGGCATGTTCACGATGTGACTCATGAGGCAGAGGATCGTGTCTAGCATCCCGTGGATCTTGTCTGTGAAGCTGTGGATCTTGTCTGTGAAGCTGTGAATTCTGTCTGTGAAGCTGTGGATATTGTGCGTGAGGCTGTGCATCTTGTCTGTGAGGCCGAGGATCGTGTCGGACATGCGGTGGATCTTGTCCAGCTGCGCGTGGATCTTGTCTATGAGCAGGTAGAGGTCGTACACGGCGACGAGGATGCGATCGTTGGCCCAGACGCAGGGGATCTCCAAGTGGGCGAGCGTGGTCTGCGTCAGAGGTGGTCGTGCGCCACGGCGACCACCGCTTGTTAAATCCATTGCGCGGTGTCCTCGGCCTCGTGGAGGGCGGCGAATTCAGCGGCAATGGTGGCCTTGTTAATGGGAACTTCGGCCAGCGCATCCTGATTCCAACGAACGACCGTTGCTGCGTCCATGCTAGTGAGTTCCAGTTTGGCGGCGGGGATGGTGTCGCAAAAAATGCGCCTTTGATCACGACGCGCACGCCAATTGTGCGTGGGGAAGTGCTGCTGGCATAAGGCGAATAGCTTCTTAGATTGAGTGTCAAATCGGGTGCGACCGAGGTTCTTGTCTGGGTTGACATTAAGCGGGCGGGACGTACTGGCCATGGTTGATGACGCAGTCTGGCGGGGTCTGAACGGTGAATCGTCTGTAGCATCCTCGTCCGGGTAGCTGAAGTGCCTTTGCCAATGCCATGGCGCGGGGCATGGCCACCTTGCACCCTCCCAAACTGCTTCGCAGGAGACGGGTTGAACACATGAGGAGATGAAGGTGGTGGGATCAGGTTCCCGATCCCGGTCGGATAACTTAGCCATGTCCAAAACGGGGGCGTCGGCGTCGGAGAGGCTGGGCTGCTGGTTGATGCGATTGATGGCGTCCCAGACCTCCTTATGTTGAGCTTCTTGTCGAGCTTGGGCGGTTTTGATGGCCAGGAGGTATTGCTCTTGTCCGTCAAGTCTTCTGGTAGTGGCAGTTTCACGTCGTTGAAGTGCGGCGAGGAATTCAGTTTGCGAAGCGCCAGTGGTGTTGCCGACGGCGTTGGTGATGTCTGTTCTGCGCTGCCATGAGGGTGCGGAGTTCTTGCTGTACGTCGGGTCCATGCTTGGAGTCTGGTCCAAAGCATGCGGAGAGCCACCCATTGGAGTCGCTGTTCCCCCAACAAGTGCAGGCGCTGCAGCAGGCTCCTCCATGGTTGCAGGCTGAGAGGCAGTGGCATGAGAACTGGCTGCTGTGATACGAGAGGGTAGTCGAGCTGCTTGAGCTGCTTGAGCGGCGAGCCATTCTTGCTGAGGTAGGAGCGCAGGTGATTCGGACGTTCGCTGGGCTGTCTTGCAAGCGCGCTGTTCCTGATCTGGGAAGGTGGGGGCGTTCTCCCATTCTGTCAATAGCGCCCGCTGCCAAGCCTCCTGCTCCTCTGCTGTGTGAAATTGTGCGGGGCCCTGTGGATGCTGAGCTGGTCCTCGCGAGCGTCCACTGTGAGCTTTAGGTGGATCCCGTTGGTCTGAAGATGAAGAAGAGGGTGGACGTCGATCACGGTCGCGGCGGCGTCCTCTATCGCGGTCCCAATCTCGGTCACGGTCGCGGCGATCTCGTTCGCGGCGGCGGTCACGTCAATCTCGATGACTTGCTTGGCTTCTGCTTTTTGAGTCGCAGCGGTCGGTGTCGGTGTCCATGCGGTAGCATTGATGTGTGTGAATCCACGACTCGCCTGTCCGACGCCGAGAGAGAGCAGAGCCACGCCAACAATATGGAGGTGCAGGATGTGAATGAATTGCTTTCTGAACGTGTGCTTCGTTCTGGGGATATGGAGCGGCACCGCAGGCAGGGCAGCCGTGGCGGGCCTGGGAACTGGAACCGAAGCTGATCGGCCAGCTGCCTTGGGAAATGGATTACTTGAGCCAAAATGGCTACTCCAGATTTCGTAATAAAATGGAGGGGGTCTGGACCCTCCAAGACAAGCCATTTCAGACCCCCCCCCGTGAGAGAACCCTCCAAAACATCGTCCCCAGACCCCCCCAGGCCCTCCAAGATAGCTTGGAAAAGACCCCCCCCGAAATGAGACCCCCCTCCCTTTATTGCGAAATCTGGAGTACGGTGGAGGAGGAGGAAAAGGAGGAGGAGGAGGAGGAGGAGGAGGAGGAGGAGGAGGCCGTGCCGCGGAGGTTGACGTGCCGCCCGACGTCGGGGGGGGCCGTGCCGCGGAGGTATTTTTTTTCGGGTGCCCGTGCGCTCCGGGCCTCACGGGGCCCATGCCTTCGGTGCCCCCACGCGCGCGCGGAAGATATGCAGCGCCGTGGCCTGCCACGCAACGGCCCCATGGCATGGCGCGGCGCGGCGCAGCCGCAGTCGGGGCGCGCGATGTGCGGCGTTCGCGCGACGCGCACGGAGACTGTGCGCGATGTACCTCGGAGGCATCAGCTGGTGTCTGCGTTTTTGAAGGGGCCCAGGGACACACAAACAAATACACACAAATAACATGATTCCCCATATTTTCCTATATTTTCTAAGTTTTCGTCTTCCCCCCCACTTCCCATATTTCCCATATTTTCTGGGGAATCGGCGATTAATTGTGTCTGTGTGTTTCTTTCCCTCCTGAACCTCGGAGGCATCAGCTTGTGTCTGCGTTTCGGCCATGGAAAGGGCTGCGCGGGAAGTGGCGATGAGACGACTCGTGCGCTTCATGGGCGGCCGTCGGCCCCACCCCCCAGGCCAGGACGCCTGCGCGACGGCGCCCACCGCGGACACACCAACGGCATGAACATGAGAATGACATCAAAGTGCTTCGTCCAGGCTATGATGTTGTTCCCGGGTGTAGGCAAGACCTGACACTCTCGCCTGCCGGTGTTGTGCCAAGGCGGCCAAGATGGTCCAAAATGGCCTCCACGTTCGCCCAAGATGGTCCAACATGGTCTCCAAGACGGGCCACGAAGAGTCCACGATGCTTCCAAGTCCGCTCAAGAAGCCAACAAGACGGCCCATGCTGGCTTCAAGATGGCCCAAGAGGCTCCAAATACGCCCCCAAGAAGCCTCGAAGACGGCCCACGAGGCCCCCAAGAGGTTCGCGGGCAACGCCCGAAGAAGAAGCCCAAATCATTCATGTTCCCAAGTTGTTTGAAGCATTCTGGCATTTGCTTCTTTTTGGTCTTCCGACGGCCCGAGGAGCCTCCGAGATCGCCCCAAGAGCGCCCAAGAGACCTTCAAGATGGCCCCGTGACGGCCCAAGAGGCCCCCAAGATGGCCCGAAGAGGGCCCCCGGACGGCCCAAGATGCTTCCAAGACGCCCAAGATACCCTTCCACCCCCAAGACGGCTTCCGAACGTGCCAGGAACGCCCTACGACGGCCAAAGAGGCCCCGAAGAAGCTCTCAAATGCCCCCAGGAGGCCCAAGGAGGCCCCCAAAAGGCCTCCGAGAGATCCCCAGGAAGCTCCCGGGAGGCCCTAAGAGTGACCCAATAGACTCCCAAGAAGTCTCCTCCTCCTTTTTCCTCCCTCTTCTCCTCTTCGTCTGTCTCCCCCACTTGTTCTCCGGAGGGTTTCCCCAACGGTTGGGGGAAATACATGGTCCGTTAGCTAGGCAGAGGTCTGGGCAAACCGTTCGGCCACATAGGAGTCTCAGAAAGGCAAGGGGCGTCGGTGATTCGCCGTCTGCGTCTTCGATAAAAAATGTCATTCGAGCGCCAGAAGACCCGCAGAAGATTTGCCACACATGCCCAGAATATTCCTCCTAAGAAAGCCTGGCACTTTCAGGCAAGGCCTCACGCAACCACCGAGTCAACCTTACGCGTACACCCCTTGGGACCCGCACGAGACCGTGAAACCCGGGAGGCCTCCTGAAGCCGCCGAAGAAACGCTGGGCGGGCCAGGGCGAGAAGGCGAGGCTTCTCGACAGACGGCCCAGACTTGCGGATCGGGGAGGGCAACCCCACAAACGAGAAGGCAGCGCCGCCCGATCTGGCGACGGGGCGCGCCGATTTAATATGGGAACGGGGCCCGTCACACATCCCACGCGCCCATTCATCCATGTTTTCGTTCCCCGGGATCCGACGTTGTGAAAAAATGCAACAGGGCGAAGCATCACGACGACAGCCCTAGTCCCCATCTGAACGCGGCATTTTTCTATCTGGAATCCCGAAACGGTGCGGTGACAGACCGTGCGGTGACCTCGAAATCCCCCAAGACCTCACCACAAGGTCCGTCAGCGCACGGTTTTGGGACCTCGGATGCCCCAGTCGCCCGAGACTTCCTCGGAGAACGACCCGAGTCCCAAAACCGTGCGGTGACCCCGAATCCCTACCGACTCACCACACGGTGTGGTCACCACCTTGTTTGGGGGGCCCCCGAGGCATTTTTCCAGCCGAGTCGAGCTGTGATGGTGCCGGGGTCCGAAGCCGGGCAAAGGCGCCCCGTGTGAAAAAATGCAGCGCCCAGGTCTCAGTGTCTCCTCGAACGTGGCCAGACATCCGGCGCTCCGATTCTTCGATGCGTGGCCCCTGGAGGCCTGGACCACCTCACCAGTAGGGGGCCACATGCGAAACCTGCCCCTACCCCCCACGATTTCTACCAGGGAAGGGTGGGGTAGAGTTCGCATGTGGCCCCCTAGCCAGGGCCAACTGTTCGTCCTGAGTCGTTGTTTGACAGTCCTGGGGCCTGCTGCGGGCCTCCGGAGGCCGAAATAGCCAGGGACAAGTCCCTCACTGATGTCCTCGAACGCACGCAGTTTCCTCGAACATGCGCGGTCCTTTGCCCCCACCCGCGGTGTGTTTTGAGGCGCAAGGCTCGGCGGGGGCTGGCCCCTCTGAACAGCGGGAAACGGCCGATCGTGCCGCTCAAGATTGCGAAGGAGAACCTGCGCGCCGGGGGGCCGCTACCACGCCAGCGACACGTCGGCGGTCAAAAGGAGAGGCGGCACTGCACAGTAGGTTCGAGTCGTCACGACCCTTGCGTTGGTCTCGGATACCGGGTGGATCGCTCAACCTTGAACGATCACCGCCTTCCGAGCGCGCAGATCGTCCCACATTGGCGGACTCCAGGCGACCAGCTGCGTTCAGTCTAGAACGCCCCTCTGACGTTGTGCGTTGTTCTGTGCCCTGGCGGGCCTCTCTTTCTGTCCGATGTTCTTCGCCCCTCTATTGCCCATTGTTCACGGGTTGGTTGTATAC